TTCCATCTGTGCCTCAATACTTGCACCTATTAGGTTTTCATCCCTCTTGAAGTACCTCTTTAACAGATTGGTATTGTGGATCTTGGTCTCCCATTCTACTTACACCTTATAGTCCATTCTGTTCACCACTTCAAAAGGTCCTTTCTATTGCATGGTGAGTTTGTTATTGTCTGTGGATAGCAGAACTAAAACCTTCTGTCCGACCTTGAAACGTTTATCCTTGTCTTTCTTATCATAGAAATGCTTCTGACTGTCTTACATATGTGCCTAAATCTGACGAGTCTGCGTGGTTCTTGTATTAGTTCTGAAGTAAACTGAGTCCCTCTGTCACTCAAGACTTCTTTTAGAAAGCCTACTCTGCATAACACTTCCATAAAGGCTTCTGCTACTTTCTCTGTCTCTATCTTCAGCAGTGCTATGGCTTCTGGGTAACTTGTTGCATAGTTTACTACTGTCAACACATACCAGTTGCCTTTGTCAGATACTGGTGCTAATGGTCCAATCAAGTCCACAGCTACTTTGTTGAATGGCTCTTCTATGAGAGGCATCTCACCCAGTGGCACCTTGGCCACCTTCCTTATAGGTACAATCCTTTGACAGATTACACATGACCATCAGAATCTGGAATAGGGGACACAAATATATAAATTTTGCAAAGGTAGGAGTCATCTTCATCTAATGCAGTTTTATTCTTCTAACAGGGTAGTTGGCTTTTGGAATGGGTTACCTTCGGATGTTGTGGAGGCAGTAAATTTAAGTGAGTTTAGGAAAGCTTGGTAAGTATATGAATGATAATGGCTGACTTTAAGATTTTTTGTTAAATTTATATATTAATAGTTTTAGCTTAATTTAGAGGATGGAACAGCCGAGACTGACCAATAGGTCCCATGTTGTCCCAAAACATTACGTTATTTTCTTTCCTCCCCCACCTTTTCTTCTTTTTCAATTAGTATTTCACACTCACATTCTTCTTAAGTCTATTTTCCTCTATGTCTTTCTCTTCCTTCCTCTCTTCTCTGCCTCTCCTCTCTTTTCTGTTTATGTAGTTCTCTCTTTAGATCTTGTTGTTGTTTAACAGACTCTCATAGATCACCATCTTTGAGCTCAAGTCACTTGCCCCTCTCTATCGACTTACCAAAGTCAGCCAACATGGATGTATAGCGTGATTGTGCCCGGCATGGCCAGGTGGTTAGGGAGCTCTACTCGCAATCTGCGGGTCGCGGGTTTGAATCCCTGTCCCACCAAACATGCTCGTCCTTTCAGCCGTGGAAGCGTTATAATGTGATGGTCAATCTCACTATTCATTGGTAAAAGAGTAGCCCAAGAGTTGGTGGTGGATGGTGATGACTAGTTGCCTTCCCTCTAGTCTTACACTGCTAAATTAGGGACAGCTAGCGCAGATAGCTCTCGTGTAGCTTTGCATGAAATTCAAAAACAAACAAAGCGTGATTGTAATCTCTACAATATTTTGCTGTTGTATATGTCTACTGCCATTTACCACTGTAGAATCCTGGCGGGCATGCCACTGGGCTGGATTCTTTACAGTAAGTGCCTGTGACTTGTTGGCAATATACTTCAACAATAAACAAACAGCACACACTCCACTTGTTTTAAAATAATATATTAAAACAAGTGAAACGTATATGCAAATATTGTTACACTATTGGTTATCTCAGTTGTATCCAGAGCTTTAAATAATCGTCTCTTTTTGTCAAAGTCCACACAGGCGGGTTAAGAACACCCTTTGACAAGGCAAGTTATTCTCCTCTATCTGTTATTACAATACAAGCTGTGATACTTTTACTTTAGGAATCACCACTATATGCTCTTTATGGATAAACTCACGATCATGCAGTCTAGATCTATCTGATTAATTCGAACTATATTTTGGGTGCATATTTATACCCACCCCAACAGAGGCCTAGACCCACCAAAGAATGTGACCACTCCAAAACGTTTCACTGTAATGTCACAGACACATCAAAAGTGAAGACTCATAAACGTCACAACTATCTCTCATTGTGACGTAAAATATTAACCTTTCTAAGACTTAATTGAAACTTGTCTTAATTTTAAAAAATACTGTTGGATTATTTCTATTTCTCAATAAAAACATACACATCACACATCATTGAGTAAATAAATATCATTTCATCCATAACAGTACATTGAGAAGTAATGAAATACTGAAAGATTAATTATCAGAGATTGCATAAAATTATGGTAATCAACAGCTACTCCAAATACTAAACTGGTGATAGTAGGTCAGTATTGTTACGTATCTGCTTGTTTGATAATTTCCCATAAAATATCTTTCCGAGAAACTTCAGCGATACAAGTCCATTCTTAATTAAAACTAGTTTATTCTTTCTCGTTACAAACTTTGTAATACAGTTAATTTCCACAGTCACTTTAAACTTAACTACTTTTAAAAACACACACTATAATTCACAGCGATTCGCACACTTAACTTACTGTGCCTACTGCGAAGCGAGCTCGCTTCACTCGATTAACAATTATTTATCTTCAATTTATCTCCGGCTTATATACTAAAAAAGAGGGCGTCTAGCAAATGCTGGGACATACGTGAGGTCGCCCGCTAAGTCACGATCATTTTAGAAACTCCAGTGCGCATGCTCCAAGCGTCGCGTGACTTTCGCTGTCATAACAGTATAAACATGTAGAAAAAAAATATTTTGTATGGTAAATGCATGTGCTTTTACAAGTGAAATAGCTATGAGAATTATCACATTGTGTCAGTATAAAATTGTCTTCATATTCATCCCTTGATACTAGGCCTAATAAAGGAAAATAATCGATGATACTGTTACGACAGCGGAAGTCACGTGACACTAGTAACACGTCATGAACTTCTAGAAAAATCATGCCCCTTCGGAAAGCCTCGAGTGTTTACTAGATGTACGGTATTCTTGTATATAAGACCGCCAAGAAGTGACGGCAACAATGTAATTGAATTGCAGACAGAGATAGAGACGACAATTGAGTCAAGCACGTTTTGAATTATAGCGTTTGTTATAGCGTGACTGTGGAAATTAAGTGTATTGCAAAGTTGTATTCAGAAAGAATAAACCAGTTTTATTTAAGAAAGGACTTGTATCGCTAAAGTTTCTTCAGAGAGAATTTTTACGGAAAATTAACTAACGACCAGAGATGTAACAATATTATTTTGTTATAATTATATTATAGGAATTTGCTGACTAGCGGAATCGCTGAGTACAAATGTTTCATTATCGCCTGTATAAAGAGTTTCAAAATTGTTTAATCTGTAAATGGTTAAACAGCTCTACTTGAATATTTATATAATTCTATGGCATTATAAAAAGTATTTCTCATACCAAAACTGGTTTACAAAGTTTGAAAGAGACAAAAGTTATTTTTTATACATTTCAGTTAGAAAAACTGGCATAAATCAGATCACGAGTGTAGTTTCGCTCTGTATAGCTTGTGCTGCCGCCTAGTGAGGATTTTATATATAACGTTTCAGTTAAGTCTTCAGAACGTACCCAAGAAGTACTTGTGACCAGAAACGTGTATGTCACGTAATGAAAACGACTTAACATAAGCACCAAATTGTGACCATAGGGTGATGTCACATATATGCGTGGTCTCTGGTGTAGAACGATCCACACACTACGAGATATGATGATACAATAATACCCAATTAAAGCAATGAGAAACACTCAGAAGAATCTAATAACATGACGTCAGTTCACAACAACTGAACAACACAAACGTATGATCCGTAAACAGTTACTAAGCGAACCTGCCATAAATTATCACTTCTAAAAATAATTTTAATATTTGTGCTACATAGACTAACTAAATTAAACAGTCGTGTATATCTAACAAAAAGTATATTGTAATGGATTATACAGAATACCACTACAACCAGGGTGAAACAAAAACAAATCATTGAATGTAACAAAAATCCATAAAACTTTCAAACGATATGAAACAAGTTTTATCAGTTACAAAAAAAACAACAAAAAACAATCGGTAAATCCGTGCTTGGCTAAGACTAGGTACAAACAGACAATACAACATAACTCTCAATGTGATTAATTTCAATAAATATCTAATATGTTAGGAAAAAGAACCAGACAAGTAAAAACCTTAATTCACACAATGTTTTCAAATCAATTATCTTTTTAAGAACAATAACATTATCGAGAAAGAATCTTTCTGTCACTCGTGAACTAACTCATTTTCAAGATCAAGGATGTGTTTTTATTTAGTGATTGGACGACGAGGTTACATTTCATGTGACTACATAATCTTTCACAGCATAAATATGTGTACATAACCGCTAGGGGAAGCTGGTGTCAGTTTCGTAATACCTACATACTTAATTAAAATCAACACGCTCCATATAGAAGGTAATTAAGTGCTTTAATATAAATAAAAATTCACAGTTCAACTAAATGATGGCTGGAATAATAAACGAACAGTAAAAAAAAAAAAACCCCGTAAGAAATTAAAAGTATAATTTGTTATTTCACACTATTTAATATTTGTATCCAATCTGATTTGAAGTGGAACATTGTAGTAATGTTTTGGTTAATTAGAAGAAATAAGGAGGACCTCTTGTGTAATAGGATCAGTAAAATGATTCTGAAGTAGATTGAAAGATGTAGGCTAAGCTATTAAATAACCGACCCCAGCGTGGCAGAGCGGTATGTCTGCGGACTGATAACACTAGAAACCGGGTTTCTATACCTGTAGTGGGTAGAGCACCAATAGCCCTTTGTGCTTAACTACAAACAATACAACTGGTGTAATTTATAACATATTTATTGAAATAAGAGTTTTAAACTAAACGTTAACTTTTGATTTTAATGAGTTCTATTTCCTCAGAATCTTACTTTTGTCAAATCTCATGTGTTTAACTTTATCGTAGATAAGCCCTATGAATACATACGTTTTAGAAAACCGAACTTAAAAAGATAAGTTTAAATAATTAAATGTGATATTTGTTGCAGGGCGATCTGTTTTTCAGTACCACCCTCTCAAAGACAGATGGGAATTTTTCGGGTTTATGTCACTTCCAAGAAACCATCATGCCGCTGCCTACTATCGTGGTGCCATCTATGTAACAGGTAAGTGTGATAATGATACTGGAACAAGTTTTAATAAGGCAGTGTCTTTTTATTTGTGTGTGTGTTTTTTTTTTATAGCAAAGCCGCCATGTTTAATTGAAGGATTAGGCTGAAGAGTTATATATTAATTGCACTCTATAAACATATACATGTTATGAAATTCGAAAATTCTCAGTCGATGACAAATTTTCACCGAATTAAATTAAAAAAGGAGAACAACACGTAATATTTACAAATATGACAATTTTCCATCCCTAACTTAAAAAAAGCGTTGATCATGAAGCTGGTATAATTAAGTTGCTCTTACCCCGGGGTTACGACAGCGGAAGTCACGTGACGCTGGTTTTCTCGAATGCTTGGTCGGGAACTTCGGTCGCAAGTGGACCTGATAACAGGACACCCACCTTATGAAGAGTTGGCTGAGTTCGTGAAAGTGTTATCTGAAAGGATGGATGATATTTATCATCAAGTGCGTTCAAACTGAAAACGTTTGCTGATTCCATGAAGCTATGTTATGATAAGAGACCTGCTGAAGTCAGCTTTGTATCAGGAGACAAGGTGTGGTTCTATAATTCCAGGAAGACCAAAGGGAAGTCTCCTAAGTTGTCTTCTCCATGGGAAGGCCCATATGACATAGTGGATCATCTCTCAGACGTACTTTCTGAATAAAATGTGGTCAGCGAAGTAAGCCAAAGGTGGTGCATGCCAACAGGCTTTGGCATTATCGCGGTCCAGGACATTTCAGTTGGGAAGAAGTGAACAACGGAACAAATTACGCTGCTGAAGACGTGTCACCTGAAAAAGCCACTGTCGAAAAAGAAACTCTATTTGGTTTTGAGAAGAGAAACAGTGAAGCTCTTGATGAAGTTAATACCACTGATGTGACTGTTACCAATGATAGGACGTTTCCTGATGAAGCAGATGAACCCCACTTGAAGCAGAAGCCAATAAAATGGAGACCAGTACGAAAGAAGAAACGTCCTGTAAAATTAAGAGACTTTGTTGTATTTTAATTTTGTGTTTGTAAAGTCTCTACATTTAATTAAGTTATTGTTAATTTTCT